CAAACATAATATAATGGCATTTAGTGGGTACAAACCTATATTACGAAAGACATTACTTATCTCCAAAAGCAAAAAATGGACAATATCTACAAGCTTCTCCATAACCTGCAATCCATTAGATTATGGATTATATTCAACCTTCATCAGTTCTGCATTTGTGATATGCACAAGATAAAACCACGTCTATAAATAAAAATGATATCTCTACGCTATTGGTGTTTCCTTCTTTATTTCTTTACATAGTTCAAGTGTTATATTTGGCATTACACATGGATCCGATACAATGACAATCTAAATGAGGATAAAACAAACCAAGACGAGGATACCAAGGGACAAGAAAACATATTGTGAAGAGAAGCAATCTGATGTTACCTCCTCCAGACTTCTAGCCCAGAGTGATTTTTTCTTTAATTGTCTAACTTGCTTCTTTTGATTTTTAATTTCCGCCCTCAAGAATGCAATGCCATCACCTACACAAGAGATATACTAAAGTTCAAAAGTATATCTATAAGAGACTACATAAACAAATACTGCTCTATATACTGAAAGGTCAAACTTCAGAATCAGAATTACATCGTCGACAACAATATGAAGGGATGATTGTGGAAAAAAAAAAGTAAAGGTATTGAAACTGCTACAATTTAACAGGATGATTTTCAATGAGACGAAATGGCAGGTGAAGACATTCATAACAGAATAGCAAAACCATAGAAAAAGAAGTATACAGCTAAAGCAATATAAATAGCTAGAATTCAACTTAGATTCATTTCAGAGTCATTGATCAAACTGTTGTTGATGCTGGCGTATATCTTTTTAAACATCTCAAAACCAACTACATGATCATTGTTAACTCCACATATTTATCACCATCTGAATGTTGAAGAAAATACTAATAATCATACCAAAATCATCCCAATGTTAAACTAAAACTCTTCAATAGATTCAGATATACACTTCATTTGGTTGGAGGTGTGGAAAGTGGAGGACAAATTTGGAGTGCTTTGAAGAGAAATTAAATGAAAAGTGAGGTGGTTTGGTTTAATAGAAAGACAGTAGAATTGAGTAGACAGTTTCTTGATATATATGATTGATTTGATTGGTAGGTTATTTTTTAGTCTAATGTTAAAAACGCCCTTAGGTGTACTTTTAAAATACAAACATTTTATGCTAAATAAATATTAGTTGAGAAAATGAAAATAAATTATTTCTTAAAAAATATTATTTATTAAATTCCAATAATAATTATAAAAATATTATAGAAAAATCCAATAAATAGAATTATTTTGAAAAATGATGGACATAAGAGTAAATTAGTAATTCAACAAACAATCTACACAAATCCATCATTTTCTCCTCATCTCACTGCATTTTTTCTTTCAAAACTTTCCCCACAAATCACCTAAATACACACTATCCCTCACAAATCAATCCCCACAAATAGTAAATGTTGTAATTAGAGAAGATATCTTTAGAATCTTCCTAATTAGAGAAAATAGATATATAATCTTCTATTTTATTTTGTTTACCTAGTTTCCCTATTTCCCTTTTTAGGAGAATTAGATTGTTACAAATACAAGATATGAGAATGTATTTTTTATGATTCTAAATAATAAAATCAATCCTATTTTCAACTTGGTGTCAGAGCTCCGATCTTGGGGCTCTGTTCCGATGCATAATCGCGCCGCCGCCGCCGCCGCTATCTGACCATTGTCGTTGTCGCCGTCCCCGGTTGGGGTCGTTGATAGGGCAGAAAGGTGCGCCCAACACCGGCGACCACAACGCCGGATGTCGCTCCATGAGAGAAGCCGCCATTGTCGCTGGCGCATGTAGCCCACGCACCCACCTCCAACAAGACCTACTCGCCGCCGTAGCCACAGACAGAGTTGTCGGAGCCTCCTGAGTTTGTTCCTGGGTCGGTGACGACCCATTTGGCCTATATTTGAGTAGATCTGAGTTTTAAGTTCTCCTCCTTTTTCTCGATGTGACCCACTCGCCGTCGCCGCCACAGATAGAGTCGTCGGAGCCTCCTGAGTCTGTTCCTAGGGTTGGTGACGACTCATTTGGCCTATATTTGAGTAGATCTGAGCTTTTAAGTTCTGCTCCTCTTTTCTTGGTGTGACCCACACAGAGTCGTCGTCTCGAAAAAGGTCACCGGATACTCCTAGTTGCGATCTACAGGATGTCTGAAGCAAAATATATTCCTTTGTGCCTTCATTAAAAAAGGATCTTGAGCACTTGAAATCAATGGTTGAATCAATGAGTAAGCCCTCTAGATCATGTACTCTATCCATAAAAGGTAAGATTTGTCTCAATACTATTGGTCATATGTCTAAAGGTATTTGGATCCTTGATTCGGGTGCAACTGATCATATGATACCTTTTAGTGTGTCCTTCGACTCATATGGTAAAAGAAATAAAGAACAACTTATTACAGTGGCAAATGGTCAGGGTATACCTATATGCGGCTCTGGGAATATAATTTTGGACTCATCTATTGTATTGAAGGATGTTTAGCATGTTCCTCAATTAGCTAATAGTTTTATCTCTATGCAAAAGCTCACAAAAGATTTAAATTGTTTAGTAACATATTTTCCAACTTATTGTGTTTTTCAAGACCTTGCCACGGGGAAGACAATTTTAACTGCTAAGGAGCAAAGTGGGTTGTATTTTTTAAAGTTTGATGACCAAAGCAACACGAAAATCTTGAGTCAACAAGCAACATCTGAGACGTGGGCAAAATCCCAAATATGGTTACATCATCAAAGGCTTGGGCATCCTTCATTTAGTCTTATCAAGTCCTTATTTCCCCACTTGTTTACCAAAGAGTCTGTTGAGTCTTTTAATTGTGATATTTGTCAATTTTCAAAACATCATCGTGCATATTATCTTATTAGTCATAAAAAGAGTATTTCTCCATTTGATTTAATTCACTCTGATGTTTGGGGTCTTGTCATAGATTATATTTATGGAGCCAAATGGTTTGTTACCTTTATTGACGATTGTACCCATGTCACGTGCACATACCTTATGAAAAATAAATCTGAAGTTTTTCAAATTTTTCCTAATTGTTTCCATCTTGTCCAAAATCAATTTGGAAAAAGTATCAAAAGAATTAGGTCTGATAATGGTACTGAATATGTGAATCATGAATTTCTCAATTTTTTGTCTCATAATGGTATTGTTCATGAACTAACCTGTGTTAACACCCGTCAACAAAATGGGGTTGCAGAAAGAAAGAATCGTCATCTTCTTGAAGTAACTAGAGCTCTTCTTTTTCAAATGTCTATTCCAAAAAATTACTAGGGAGAAGCTGTGTTAACTGCCACATATCTCATCAACAGGTTACTCACTCGTATCTTAAATGGCATTAGTCCTATAAAGTCTCTATTGTCTTTTGTTCCTTCTTCCCTACTAACGAGTCTACCTAGTGGAGTCTTTGGATGTTTTGTTTTTGTTCACTCTCATCATCCTAACTGTGGTAAATTAGATCCCAGAGCTCTTAAATGTGTCTTTATTGGGTATCCTTCTAATAAAAAAGGGTACAAATGTTATCATCCTCCGAGTCGTTACGTCTTTATCACCATGGATGTCACCTTTCATGAAACACAGTCCTTTTATGTCAGTCCACCACTTCAGGGGGAGAAAGCATTTGAAGTAGATGAACTCTCCTTCTTGTCATTACCATGTTTGTCTTTGCAAGATGCCTAAGACCTGAGCAATGAAGCTACCATAGTCCATAGTGAGGAAGAAGAGGAAGAAGACAATTTTTTTGGAAAAAAGTATGAAAGAAGAAAACAACCCACTTCGACTCTTGAGCAAGAAGAATTGTCTAATCTGGAGGTGAGGATCCTTGAAGATATCAATGAGAAGGAGGTAAGTATTACTGAGGATTTACCCATTGCATTGAGAAAGAAAAGAAGATCATGTACTAAATATCTTATTTCTCGGTATGTTTGCACTAACAATCTCTATGATAAGCATAAAAGTTTTATTGCTGCCATTGATGCCACAGAAATTCCTACCTCAATCAAGGAGGCCATGAAACTTGAACATTGGAATCAAGCCATGAAAGAAGAGATGAATGCAATAGAAAAAAATTCAACTTAGAAGATTGTTGATAAGCCAAGAGACAAGAAGGCAGCAGTAGGGTGTAGATGGATATTCACAATTAAACATAAGGCAGATGGGACAATAGAAAGATATAAAGCTAGATTGGTGGCAAAAGGATATACCCAAAGATATGGGATTGACTATGAGGAGACATTTGTCCCAGTGGCAAAGATGAATACAGTTCGAATTATTCTCGCTTTGGCTGCTCATTTTGGATGGGACTTACACCAGCTGGATGTGAAGATTGTCTTTCTTCACGGAAATCTAGAAGAGGAAGTATATATGGAGATTCCCTCAGGCTTTGAAGTGAAAAATGAAAGAAACAAGGTATGCCTCCTGAAGAAAGCATTGTATGGGCTTAAGCAATCCCCTAGAGCATGGTTTGGAAGATTTACAAAAGCAATGGTTTCCTTGGAATACAAAAAAAGCCAAAGAGATCACACTCTATTCATAAAGCACTCTTCTACAAGTAAACTCACTATATTGCTTGTCTATGTGGATGATATGAGTATTGCAGGAGATGATGAAACAGAAAAATTGGCATTAAAAGATAAATTGGCAGCTCAATTTGAAATGAAAGACCTAAGAAAACTCAAATATTTTCTTGGAATAGAGGTTGCCTACTCCAAGATCAAAATTTCCATCTCTCAAAGGAAATATGTACTTGATCTCCTCAAAGAAACAAGAAAACTGGGATGTAGAACTCAACAGTTCCTATAGAACAGAATCTTAGAATTGGAAGTGAAGAAAGTGCTCCTGCAAGGGAAGACCCAATATCATAGATTGGTAGGAAAATTGATTTATCTATCACACACANAAGAAGTAGAACAGTAGAAATCATAGTAAATATCCTACATATAATAGGGTAAGTCATTCTTAGCCAAAGGGAGATTAGTGTGTGTATTAATACACACAGAAAGATAAATGTTTTAAGAGTCAAGTGAAATTCAATACGCAACAAAAGGAGAAACTCCAGAACTCAATTAATTTTGACCTGATCCAAGTTAAGGAATAAAATAAACAGACATGGAATGATGAAGTAAATACAATGAAGTTTAACTCACAATAGTATCAATTTGAAGCACTATATTAGCATAATGCAAAGCAAGGCCTGCAGGGCCCAGTCTTTGGTGATTGCTTCTGTGTCCAGTTAATGGTTTGTGGCTATCTGCAGGTGCCCATCGATAAACAACATTACAAATATGACTGATTTCAACAGCAATTTGATAAGAAGACAGACTGATATTTAATACTTGTACATTAAGTGGCTCAGAACAACATTTACAAATCAAATGAAACAAACATAATATAATGGCATTTAGTGGGTACAAACCTATATTACGAAAGACATTACTTATCTCCAAAAGCAAAAAATGGACAATATCTACAAGCTTCTCCATAACCTGCAATCCATTAGATTATGGATTATATTCAACCTTCATCAGTTCTGCATTTGTGATATGCACAAGATAAAACCACGTCTATAAATAAAAATGATATCTCTACGCTATTGGTGTTTCCTTCTTTATTTCTTTACATAGTTCAAGTGTTATATTTGGCATTACACATGGATCCGATACAATGACAATCTAAATGAGGATAAAACAAACCAAGACGAGGATACCAAGGGACAAGAAAACATATTGTGAAGAGAAGCAATCTGATGTTACCTCCTCCAGACTTCTAGCCCAGAGTGATTTTTTCTTTAATTGTCTAACTTGCTTCTTTTGATTTTTAATTTCCGCCCTCAAGAATGCAATGCCATCACCTACACAAGAGATATACTAAAGTTCAAAAGTATATCTATAAGAGACTACATAAACAAATACTGCTCTATATACTGAAAGGTCAAACTTCAGAATCAGAATTACATCGTCGACAACAATATGAAGGGATGATTGTGGAAAAAAAAAAGTAAAGGTATTGAAACTGCTACAATTTAACAGGATGATTTTCAATGAGACGAAATGGCAGGTGAAGACATTCATAACAGAATAGCAAAACCATAGAAAAAGAAGTATACAGCTAAAGCAATATAAATAGCTAGAATTCAACTTAGATTCATTTCAGAGTCATTGATCAAACTGTTGTTGATGCTGGCGTATATCTTTTTAAACATCTCAAAACCAACTACATGATCATTGTTAACTCCACATATTTATCACCATCTGAATGTTGAAGAAAATACTAATAATCATACCAAAATCATCCCAATGTTAAACTAAAACTCTTCAATAGATTCAGATATACACTTCATTTGGTTGGAGGTGTGGAAAGTGGAGGACAAATTTGGAGTGCTTTGAAGAGAAATTAAATGAAAAGTGAGGTGGTTTGGTTTAATAGAAAGACAGTAGAATTGAGTAGACAGTTTCTTGATATATATGATTGATTTGATTGGTAGGTTATTTTTTAGTCTAATGTTAAAAACGCCCTTAGGTGTACTTTTAAAATACAAACATTTTATGCTAAATAAATATTAGTTGAGAAAATGAAAATAAATTATTTCTTAAAAAATATTATTTATTAAATTCCAATAATAATTATAAAAATATTATAGAAAAATCCAATAAATAGAATTATTTTGAAAAATGATGGACATAAGAGTAAATTAGTAATTCAACAAACAATCTACACAAATCCATCATTTTCTCCTCATCTCACTGCATTTTTTCTTTCAAAACTTTCCCCACAAATCACCTAAATACACACTATCCCTCACAAATCAATCCCCACAAATAGTAAATGTTGTAATTAGAGAAGATATCTTTAGAATCTTCCTAATTAGAGAAAATAGATATATAATCTTCTATTTTATTTTGTTTACCTAGTTTCCCTATTTCCCTTTTTAGGAGAATTAGATTGTTACAAATACAAGATATGAGAATGTATTTTTTATGATTCTAAATAATAAAATCAATCCTATTTTCAACTTGGTGTCAGAGCTCCGATCTTGGGGCTCTGTTCCGATGCATAATCGCGCCGCCGCCGCCGCCGCTATCTGACCATTGTCGTTGTCGCCGTCCCCGGTTGGGGTCGTTGATAGGGCAGAAAGGTGCGCCCAACACCGGCGACCACAACGCCGGATGTCGCTCCATGAGAGAAGCCGCCATTGTCGCTGGCGCATGTAGCCCACGCACCCACCTCCAACAAGACCTACTCGCCGCCGTAGCCACAGACAGAGTTGTCGGAGCCTCCTGAGTTTGTTCCTGGGTCGGTGACGACCCATTTGGCCTATATTTGAGTAGATCTGAGTTTTAAGTTCTCCTCCTTTTTCTCGATGTGACCCACTCGCCGTCGCCGCCACAGATAGAGTCGTCGGAGCCTCCTGAGTCTGTTCCTAGGGTTGGTGACGACTCATTTGGCCTATATTTGAGTAGATCTGAGCTTTTAAGTTCTGCTCCTCTTTTCTTGGTGTGACCCACACAGAGTCGTCGTCTCGAAAAAGGTCACCGGATACTCCTAGTTGCGATCTACAGGATGTCTGAAGCAAAATATATTCCTTTGTGCCTTCATTAAAAAAGGATCTTGAGCACTTGAAATCAATGGTTGAATCAATGAGTAAGCCCTCTAGATCATGTACTCTATCCATAAAAGGTAAGATTTGTCTCAATACTATTGGTCATATGTCTAAAGGTATTTGGATCCTTGATTCGGGTGCAACTGATCATATGATACCTTTTAGTGTGTCCTTCGACTCATATGGTAAAAGAAATAAAGAACAACTTATTACAGTGGCAAATGGTCAGGGTATACCTATATGCGGCTCTGGGAATATAATTTTGGACTCATCTATTGTATTGAAGGATGTTTAGCATGTTCCTCAATTAGCTAATAGTTTTATCTCTATGCAAAAGCTCACAAAAGATTTAAATTGTTTAGTAACATATTTTCCAACTTATTGTGTTTTTCAAGACCTTGCCACGGGGAAGACAATTTTAACTGCTAAGGAGCAAAGTGGGTTGTATTTTTTAAAGTTTGATGACCAAAGCAACACGAAAATCTTGAGTCAACAAGCAACATCTGAGACGTGGGCAAAATCCCAAATATGGTTACATCATCAAAGGCTTGGGCATCCTTCATTTAGTCTTATCAAGTCCTTATTTCCCCACTTGTTTACCAAAGAGTCTGTTGAGTCTTTTAATTGTGATATTTGTCAATTTTCAAAACATCATCGTGCATATTATCTTATTAGTCATAAAAAGAGTATTTCTCCATTTGATTTAATTCACTCTGATGTTTGGGGTCTTGTCATAGATTATATTTATGGAGCCAAATGGTTTGTTACCTTTATTGACGATTGTACCCATGTCACGTGCACATACCTTATGAAAAATAAATCTGAAGTTTTTCAAATTTTTCCTAATTGTTTCCATCTTGTCCAAAATCAATTTGGAAAAAGTATCAAAAGAATTAGGTCTGATAATGGTACTGAATATGTGAATCATGAATTTCTCAATTTTTTGTCTCATAATGGTATTGTTCATGAACTAACCTGTGTTAACACCCGTCAACAAAATGGGGTTGCAGAAAGAAAGAATCGTCATCTTCTTGAAGTAACTAGAGCTCTTCTTTTTCAAATGTTTGTTCCAAAAAATTACTAGGGAGAAGTTGTGTTAACTGTCACATATCTCATCAACAGGTTACCCACTCGTATCTTAAATGGCATTAGTCCTATAAAGTCTCTATTGTCTTTTGTTCCTTCTTCCCTACTAACGAGTCTACCTAGTGGAGTCTTTGGATGTTTTGTTTTTGTTCACTCTCATCATCCTAACTGTGGTAAATTAGATCCCAGAGCTCTTAAATGTGTCTTTATTGGGTATCCTTCTAATAAAAAAGGGTACAAATGTTATCATCCTCCGAGTCGTTACGTCTTTATCACCATGGATGTCACCTTTCATGAAACACAGTCCTTTTATGTCAGTCCACCACTTCAGGGGGAGAAAGCATTTGAAGTAGATGAACTCTCCTTCTTGTCATTACCATGTTTGTCTTTGCAAGATGCCTAAGACCTGAGCAATGAAGCTACCATAGTCCATAGTGAGGAAGAAGAGGAAGAAGACAATTTTTTTGGAAAAAAGTATGAAAGAAGAAAACAACCCACTTCGACTCTTGAGCAAGAAGAATTGTCTAATCTGGAGGTGAGGATCCTTGAAGATATCAATGAGAAGGAGGTAAGTATTACTGAGGATTTACCCATTGCATTGAGAAAGAAAAGAAGATCATGTCCTAAATATCTTATTTCTCGGTATGTTTGCACTAACAATCTCTGTGATAAGCATAAAAGTTTTATTGCTGCCATTGATGCCACAGAAATTCCTACCTCAATCTAGGAGGCCATGAAACTTGAACATTGGAATCGAGCCATGAAAGAAGAGATGAATGCACTAGAAAAAAATTCAACTTAGAAGATTGTTGATAAGCCAAGAGACAAGAAGGCAGCAGTAGGGTGTAGATGGATATTCACAATTAAACATAAGGCAGATGGGACAATAGAAAGATATAAAGCTAGATTGGTGGCAAAAGGATATACCCAAAGATATGGGATTGACTATGAGGAGACATTTGTCCCAGTGGCAAAGATGAATACAGTTCGAATTATTCTCGCTTTGGCTGCTCATTTTGGATGGGACTTACACCAGCTGGATGTGAAGATTGTCTTTCTTCACGGAAATCTAGAAGAGGAAGTATATATGGAGATTCCCTCAGGCTTTGAAGTGAAAAATGAAAGAAACAAGGTATGCCTCCTGAAGAAAGCATTGTATGGGCTTAAGCAATCCCCTAGAGCATGGTTTGGAAGATTTACAAAAGCAATGGTTTCCTTGGAATACAAAAAAAGCCAAAGAGATCACACTCTATTCATAAAGCACTCTTCTACAAGTAAACTCACTATATTGCTTGTCTATGTGGATGATATGAGTATTGCAGGAGATGATGAAACAGAAAAATTGGCATTAAAAGATAAATTGGCAGCTCAATTTGAAATGAAAGACCTAAGAAAACTCAAATATTTTCTTGGAATAGAGGTTGCCTACTCCAAGATCAAAATTTCCATCTCTCAAAGGAAATATGTACTTGATCTCCTCAAAGAAACAGGAAAACTGGGATGTAGAACCTCAACAATTCCTATAGAACAGAATCTTAGAATTGGAAGTGAAGAAAGTGCTCCTGCAAGGGAAGACCCAATATCATAGATTGGTAGGAAAATTGATTTATCTATCACACACAAGACCAGACATTGCTTATGCAGTTAGTGTTGTAAGCCAATTTATGCATGATCCAAGAGAGAGAAGTTGACAAAATTCTCCAATACTTGAAGTCAAGTCCAGAAAAGGGGCTATTATTCAAAAGGAAAGACATATTGACTATGAAGATATATATTGATGCTGACTATGCAGGTTCTATTACTGACAGAAAATCTACTTCTGGGTATTGTGTGTTTCTTGGGGATAGTCTAGTAACATGGAGATGCAAGATAGAGTATCTCGTTCTAGTGCAGAAGCTGAATTTCGAGCTCTTGCTCAAGGAATGTGTGAAGACTCTGGATGAAAATCATTTTGGATGATCTTAAAGTCAAAGTGGAGAACCCGGAGCAACTACACTGTGACAATAAGTCTGCCATGATCATAGCCCATAATCCAATACAGCATGACAGAACCAAACACATTGAGATTGACAGACATTTCATCAAAGATAATCTTGACAGAGGCTTTGTGATTACAACTCATGTTCCTACAGAACTTCAAATAGTAGAAATTTTTACAAAAGGGCTTCCTCCGGTAGATTTCAAGCTCTTGTAGGCAAGTTGGGAATGATTGACATTCATTTACCAACTTGAAGGGGAGTGGTGTAATTAGAGAAGATATCTTTAGAATCTTCCTAACTAAAGAAAATAGATATATAATATTATATTTTATTTTGTTTACCTAATTTCTCTATTTCCCTTTTTAGGAGAATTAGATTGTTACAGATAGAGGATATGAGAATGTATTTTTATGATTCTGAATAATAAAATCAGTCCTATTTTCAACTGTAAATGACCCCTACCAAACAATGCATAGTACTCATAGCTCAAGGGTAACATGCCATAGTTACCTCTTTCATCATCATCCTCACACTTGCGCTGAATATCTTGTTCAAATCTATCCAAAGCATGTAATTCATGGTACAATTCCTGCAGCCAAAGAAAATTGATTTTCCAATTTCTTAAAAACTCATATAAATGAATGACTACAATGAATAAAAAGCAAATGCATGGAGCAAAAGTTTCAGCAATGGCAAGATAATAGAAAATCTTGGAGATAAAGTGACTGCAAAATGGGAGAAAATGAGCAAATGCAACAAAAGGTGCAATAAATAAGATGCATACTTCAGGAAGATAATGTCTTTAAAAAAAAATACATCCAGAAAAACATACATGTCTTTTCTAAATATGGCAGATAATGTCCACTTTACATTTGTGATAATAGAAATCAGAATCGGAATGAATTTTTAAATGTACCTGCAGGTTACTAGTACTACAGAGCTATTGCAGATGAACTCAAATTCTCCTCTAAATCTTTGAGTAAAAATCATGATTGAAGGTATTGGGTAAGAAACAGAGTAAGGGATGGAAAGAAAGAAATCTCTGAACAAATGTAATACATAGAAGATATAGTCGATCAAAATCCTTAAAAAAAAACCCCCATAATACATTTCCAGGAAATTGCAAAACAGAATTATAGGATAAAGTATTTACTATTTAGGGACAATCACTAACTAAACTGCTTAACGACATTGAAAGAGTGGTTTAATGAGTAATCAATTATAAACTTGATTAACCCTTGAGTTAATTGTTCTTAAATTATAAATACTTTTAGCAAGAACTTTTTTATTTATTTTCTTATCTTTTCAGCTTCAGGAGTTACTATAAGTCCTCGAGCAACATTAAGCATCTTCTTTAGCGACACAAAGAATACACTCACGGCTGTTAACTGAACCAAAGTCATCAATTCTTTCATTATTGATCCTGCCTCGTCTCTTGAGGGTCTTTGAGCATTCAATTCTCCGCTAACCCTAAAATTTAGGATGAAATCACAGCTTAGAATAAATACAAGAAAGGCAAATGTTTATTTGAAAATGAATGAAAGGCTAATAGAATTGAGTGAGTACAATTTATATTACTTCTCAAAGTAACGATCTAAGTTGTGCCATTGAGGATTCTTCGAACGATTTCCAAAACGAATCACCTCATCAGAAAAAACCTTCAGCTCCTGCCTGACAACATAATCCAAAATCATATACAGTTGATATTTTAATTTTACAGTCAAGGTAATGAAAAATAAAATAAAATCCATATTTACCTCTTGTCTGCTGCAACAATCCCAAGAAGTTCATCCATATCCTTTGACACTAAATCTTGCACGGGATGTGAAAGAAGCACCTCTTCTTTTAAATGCCTAATACTTTTAGGTGAAAGAGATTCCAGAAGATTAAAACCTTTGACGATTGTGTTTGCAACCTCAAAAGCCAAGATAGCAATTTCATTCCCCTTAATTGCAGCTCCGGAAACAAACCCACTGCTAGCATTTAAATTTGTCATGCTGCTCCCAAGAGTATCCAAAACCTCTACTGCTTTCTCAATTCCAATTGCAATTCCAGTAGTACCAGCTTTGCCCAAGCGTGAACTCACCTCTGAGACCTGAAACAGAAAGAGCTCAGTAGATATTTTTTTTTTTTCAGTATTATTCAATTTAAGCAGGAGCAAAATAAGGATTTTATACATGCTCCCTTGCCTATATCAGAAATAATGCCTACTGATATCAAAAGCCCTTGAATAATTTCCCTTTCCAGCACATAAAACATATTGTCAAGCCTCAAGTACTTAAATACAACCATAAACAATATAAACGATACAATCCTAAAACTCATAATTACTAACAAAAAACAAACCCTAATCCCAACCACAAACCTTACTTCCGAATTATACAAGTCACCAAAATAGTCACTAGTATTCTCTAATTCCAATCGCGTCCTCATTAAACTCATTAATTTATTTCCTTGCGTCTGTGAACTACCAGCCCTACATGCGACTAAACCATCAACAACGACTCAAACACGCTATACATCACTCCAGTTCAGCACAAATTTATTCACAACAGAGAAACGGTTTGTTTTGTTTAACCTTTGACCTAGGCTTCTGAGGCAAGGAGTCCTTAGGGAAGCGCGGGATTCCATCGTAGAACTCTTCATCGACAGCGGAAGAAGCTCCGCCGTTAGTTCTAGAAGGTTCAGGAAGATTCCTCTCCATCCTCTGAGGCGCGGCTGAGAAAACTACGGCGTCATCAGCGGCAGGTTTACTCTGAGCAGCAGAATCGGCGTTGACAAAAACTCGGTCGTCAGCCGCGGAGCGCGAACAGAGTCCTCCCATGACTTGCGACAACCACACCAAGAATTCGATCTTGGAATTCGAAGCCCCTGCCATGTAGTTGTTCCCCTAAGATCGCAAGGCTCATTGATTTTTGGTCATTGCATTAGTTGGTAGCAGTAATGAATAGTAACGGAGAAAAAAAATTAAAGAGAAAGAAAAACAAAATGTAGCACAAGGTGTGTGAGTAAACTAATAAAGGAAATCCAAAAGGTAAGAAGAAGACAGAAAGAGAAGAGACTGGGTGATCAGTTATCACGTGTGGGGTAGTGCCCTAAAAGTCCACCCCTCCCATTGGGTGCCAACGATGTGAAATTCAAAACTAGTCCAGTTGACTATCACCCATTCGGTCCAACCGCTGTGACTCACTGTCACTCACCACGCACCCTACCGTTTAGGCTAGGCTTTAAAAAACGTTACAGACATATACCCTTAATTTTCGTTTATGGTTCCCCTTTTTCCGTTCGAAACTTCAACTCTCGTCTTGCTCAACCAATCGCTTTCGCTCTTACCTTCACGCTAAACTCAAGTAAATTTAATTTATTATAGAGTTGCAGATTCAGTGTGGAAATAATCTAATCATTACAACGAGTATCAGATAGATAAATTTATTTTAGTCTCTCAAATTTAAAACTCATTCTTCAAATGTTAAATTAATTTTTCAATATAGGGGCTTATACCTTCCTATGGACGGAGTTTAAATTTTTATTTTTAATAATAAAATATAGTAATTATAAATAAAAGGTGTAAGTAAATAGGCTTTTTTTTCTTTTCATTACATTTAAGAACATTGTTCAATAATTTAAATTTTAGAAAGTTAAATTATTAGAAAAATATGTGGTTAGTCATTTAAATTTCTTCTTATAAAAAAAAATGCGAACAGAAATATTATGGGATTAATTTAATGTTTTTTACAACAATTCATTCACCCTAAAGTTATTGGCATTACCTACTTGTCGTGTGGATTTTTCCATAACCAAATTAATACGCCGTTTGATAATAGACCATCTGAAAGATCTAGTAACTGGTTTTCTAAGCATTCCACCTAGTTTAAACTCTTATGCCAAGAACCCTAGCCCAACTAAGATCTAACACCAAAAGTTACAACTTAGATTCAAAGACTTTCTTTCTGTTCCAAGTTCTCTTCTTCTTCTTCTTGTATTTCAAAACTTTTATAAATGTTTCATCTGTCTTTCCGATTAAGATAAAAAAAAATTCTCTCTCCTTATATTTATTTCACCCACCCATTTTTATTTTCACACTTTCTCCTTTCTCCTAATCTATCGGCGCACCACCCAACCACCTTCAAAGAAGTGTTCTTCCTCTACATCTCCTACACCACATCTCTCACCACCACAGCATAGAGCACACTTCAACCTTCAAGCAATTCCTATCACTCGAAAAAGATAAACATTTGTAACACCCCCAATCCACAGCGTCACAAGTCTTTACAAAATTCAAAATGTTACTATGAGCTTATGAGTTGATCGATCAGATACGCTGCAAACTGGATGGAAAGGATCGAGAATGTTACAACAACTACTGATGAGTGGTTAAAGTTTGAATTAATGATCATTAAGAGATAAATTAATTGGTCAGATTCTTATAAATTCACTCTTTCAATAATTGAATTATTATAGATGTTAAGATATCGGCAAGTGTACGGAATCGTATCAAGTAAAAATAAATGGTAAGACCAAATATCATATCCCAAGAGACTAACGGCACTAGACAGTCATGTAATTACTTAACTAATTAAGACTTTGAAGAACAATTTTAGGGTTTTTGAATGCAAAACAAAAAAGTAAATATAAATGCAAATTGGTCAATTGAGGCTAAACAATAGATTGAATGGATAAAGTTGAAAATATGAGATGAGTATGTTGTTGGGGTTTAGATTTCACCTAGTTTACTCTTATGCATATATGAATTCGTCTTCTTCATTCAATTGTTAACATCACTTTCTAAATTACTTAAAACCCGATGTCTTGGCAAAGAAAGTTTATCCTTAATTACTAGATCAC